GAATAAAACAGCCAGACAGATTTCAGTATTTACTCTAAATTCCAGCACACTTACCAGCTAGCCTGCAAAAATTAAAAACGAATGACACTATTAGCATTAAAATCAGAGGTATGTAGAAGCCGCACTGCCTCATCGAGGCCCCTCTGTGTAGTGTGGTCCTAATTCTAACCTATGATAGCCTCCATCTTGGAGGATATATAGCAAAGGATGAACTGGGGGCAGGTTCACCAGGAGGTACCACATTCATCATGTTTTCTCAGTTGTAACAGCTTGTGATCCTTATACAGAGGCTGGCAAGAGGACTGGAGCAGATTTATAGTAAGCCATACTAGGCACATGCCTATAGGTACCAGCACTGCAGGGGTACCAAGAGGATAATTACCTAAATAACCGCTAGAGGGGGAATGTGGCATGCCACCCAAAAAAAACGAAAAAAAGCCAGTAAAACCTACAAGTTATCTTGGCAGCTACTAGAAACATGGCATCTAAGTCACGCCTGAGTGTCAGGACAGAGGAAAATACCAGCATGACCTTGAAAAACAGCAATTCCAAGAATAATGGGACACCTTGTGAGACACAATTAAGTGACCAGCCAATTTTTTGATCTGTTAAATTCCTCCAGAGATTGCTAGGGGGTTCCTTGAGCAGTGGTGGATGGATCTCCTGTCTGATAATGCTTGCATAATTCCTGGTGCAGAGCCAGCAGTGTAGGACCAATGCAGCCTCTCCACTCTAAAGAGGAGCCCGCCCTTGGGTTATCCATCCCTTCAAATTATTGGCTCATGTGACTCAGCTGACCAGAGCCAAAAGCTATGCACTGCCTTATAGTTTGTTACTTATTTCTGTGTCTTCAGGAAAAAGTTTGCGATTCATAAACTTTGTAAACCCCAGTGGTTTGCCATCAACCCGTCGTAGCAGCAAACCCAACATCTTATCCCTACTGTCTGTAAGGAGACATTCTTTGAACCAACCACCAATATAGTAAACAGGAATCCTTTCTATTGACCACCAATGTAAGAAAGTACCCTTTCCACAGACTACCAACATAAGGGCAGGACTTCTTTACTGACCACCAAAATAAAAGGCCTTTCTTCTACTCACTACCAATATGAGGCGGTCAGCTCTGCACCGACCATCAATGTAAGAGGATCTTTTCCCATTAACCACCAATGTAAAGGGACCCGTCTCCATTAACCACCAATGTAAGGGGACCCTTCTCCACTAACCACCAGTGTAAGGGGACCCTTCTCCACTAACCACCAATGTAAGGGGACCCTTCTCCACTAACCACCAGTGTAAGGGGACCCTTCTCCACTAACCACCAATGTAAAGGGACCCGTCTCCATTAACCACCAATGTAAGGGGACCCTTCTCCACTAACCACCAATGTAAGGGGATCCTTCTCCACTAACCACCAATGTAAGGGGACCCTTCTCCACTAACCACCAATGTAAGGGCACCATTCTCCACTAACCACCAGTGTAAGGGGACCCTTCTCCACTATCCTCCAATGTAAGGGGACCCTTCTCCACTAACCACCAGTGTAAGGGGACCCTTCTCCACTAACCACCAATGTAAGGGGACCATTCTCCACTAACCACCAATGTAAGGGCACCATTCTCCACTAACCACCAGTGTAAGGGGACCCTTCTCCACTAACCACCAGTGTAAGGGGGCCTTTCTCCGCTGACCACCAATGTAATGGGGCCTTTCTCCGCTGACCACCAATGTAATGGGGCCTTTCTCCGCTGACCACCAATGTAATGGGGCCTTTCTCCGCTGACCACCAATGTAAGGGGACCCTTCTCCGCTGACCACCAATGTAAGGGGGCCTTTCTCCGCTGACCACCAATGTAAGGGGGTTTTTCTCCGCTGACCACCAATGTAAGGGAGCCCTTCACTACTGACCACCAATGTAAGGGGACCCTCCTCCACTGACCTCCAATGTAAGGGGGCCCTTCTCCACTGACCTCCAATGTAAAGGAGGGGGCCTTCCCCATTGACCACCAATGTAAAGGAGGGGGCCTTCCCCACTGACCACCAATGTAATGGGGCCTTCCCCACTGGCCACCAATGTAACAGGTCATCAATGTAATGATTTTGTCATACAGAGCAGGGCGGTTCGTGAATTAAATACGATAGGTGCATCACATTCTTTGTTCTTATTAATACTCTTATTTTATTATATGTAGGTCTTTGCGATCAAACAAAAGTACAATGTGGACGTTATTCTTAGCAGGGATTCTGGGGGACCGGAAACATTTTTCAGGGGTTCCTCCTTCATCAAAAAAACAAAGTTAAGAAGGTGCCTGAGGAAGGTGGTTTGCCATGTCATGCTTGTTTAGCAAGTTACTATGCAACTGTACATGTCCTGATGAATGTTGTTGCGGTTTTTATGATGCAATGAGCATTTGTTTTTCGCTGAGCTGGTTGCAGAGTTTGTATGTAATGTAATAATGGTCTGTGGTTTTATCAGAACAAGTATGTGTCAACTGCTGGTGAACAGGGTCTACACCCTCTAGATCAGGGGTAGGCAAGATCGGACTAGTCAAAAAATACATTGCAAGACACTGACAGCCATATGAATGGCTCCTATAGACAGAGGCATGATGGAATTTGCAGTTCCACCAGAGCTGGAGTACCAATGTTGCCTACCCCTGCTCTAGATCATGGTTCCCACTTAACGTTTTTCTGTACGGCTTTTAGTTCTTCCTGCGAGGTCATAACCAGGTTTATAAAACTCTTGACGGACCAGCTGATGGGAGGTCAGGTGCTATTGAATTAAGCACACCCCCAGAACTACATCTTCCAAGAGCCTTTTATCCATACATAGATTGTAAGTGGGGGCGGCAGGGGGTGTCAAGGCAACTGCATCATTTTGGTAGATGGGGGGCGCAGCATGTGCATGGGGACAGAGAGGGGAGTTCTGAAGTCCAGCAGGCAGGGCTGCCATCCAGTTCTAATGAAACTCCAAATCCCATCATGCATCTGCCTCTGGGAGTCATGTGTGTGGCCTCATGAGACTCGTAGTGCTGAAACAGCTGGAGTGAGGCTGCGTACCCCTTACTAAGGCTGGGCACACACCTTACAACCATCGCAAGACTTTTGTCTTGCGATGGTTGTAAGGTACTTAAAAAAACGTACGATCTGCCTATGTTGCATAGGCAGATCGTACTTGCGATGATCGCAAGCCACGCCCCCTGAGGGGCGGGCTTCCGATGACCGCAATGCCGAACGGGCAGTGTGCGCTTGCGCACACCGGCCCGTGCGGCTGTTATCGTACGGACATGCCACAAACCCGCCGAACATCGTACGATGCTCGGCGGGTTTTCAAACATGTCCGTAAGTTTAAAGTCGTGCGACCTTACAGTAGTAGAGGTCGCACGGCTTCCACACACCTTACGAACATCGTACGATCGCGGGATTTCCCACGATAATCGTAAGGTGTGTGGGCACCCTTAGGGTTTTTTAAATGTTTATTATTCTCCAACTCAAGGTCGAAATTTAAGCAAAACACACAGGAGTAAAATCAAACCATTTAATAGTCTATGAGTAAAATAGTCTTGGCCTGTTCTACCTTTAACAAATCAACGCAATTACAGCAGAGGGCGCGGCCAGCCTCGGGCCATACTAGAGCGGAGGGAGGTGGCCAGCCTCGGGCCATACTAGAGCGGAGGGAGGTGGCCAGCCTCGGGCCATACTAGAGCGGAGGGAGGTGGCCAGCCTCGGGCCATACTAGAGCGGAGGGAGGTGGCCAGCCTCGGGCCATACTAGAGCGGAGGGAGGTGGCCAGCCTCGGGCCATACTAGAGCGGAGGGAGGTGGCCAGCCTCGGGCCATACTAGAGCGGAGGGAGGTGGCCAGCCTCGGGCCATACTAGAGCGGAGGGAGGTGGCCAGCCTCGGGCCATACTAGAGCGGAGGGAGGTGGCCAGCCTCGGGCCATACTAGAGCGGAGGGAGGTGGCCAGCCTCGGGCCATACTAGAGCGGAGGGAGGTGGCCAGCCTCGGGCCATACTAGAGCGGAGGGAGGTGGCCAGCCTCGGGCCATACTAGAGCGGAGGGAGGTGGCCAGCCTCGGGCCATACTAGAGCGGAGGGAGGTGGCCAGCCTCGGGCCATACTAGAGCGGAGGGAGGTGGCCAGCCTCGGGCCATACTAGAGCGGAGGGAGGTGGCCAGCCTCGGGCCATACTAGAGCGGAGGGAGGTGGCCAGCCTCGGGCCATACTAGAGCGGAGGGAGGTGGCCAGCCTCGGGCCATACTAGAGCGGAGGGAGGTGGCCAGCCTCGGGCCATACTAGAGCGGAGGGAGGTGGCCAGCCTCGGGCCATACTAGAGCGGAGGGAGGTGGCCAGCCTCGGGCCATACTAGAGCGGAGGGAGGCGGCCAGCCTCGGGGCCATACTAGAGCGGAGGGAGGTGGCAAGTCTCGGGACCATACTACAAAGGAGGATGCTATAAGGCTCTGGTGAAGAAGAGGTATTTTGTAGGATGTTCAGGTAAAGTTCAAATGAGGACATGGTATACAAATCTTCTGCGGTTCTTACAAAAATCAAAATCTGTGATTTGGTAGAAATGTGGCACACTCAAATTCTAGTCCAGAGATTTCATTTGTGGATAGCTCATTGATTGCTTGTTTGGGGGTTTTGTTCCCACGAAGATCCTCTATAGTGGTAGCAGCATATAGAGTAAGTATGAAACTCTTCTTTATGATGAGAACACAACCATTTCAAAGATTTCAATAACTAAACTTGTTTCTAGTAGCCTTAGGACAGCCTTTACTTATCAAGCATTGGGGGAAGAGGACCTGTCTCCGAAGATTAGCGCTACCCTACACCAACCAATCAGTTTCGATTCTGCATGGGAACATGACAGCAGCAGAACAAGTGATATCGAACAAGCCTAATAATCTGATTGGTTGCTTCGGGAAGAAAGACCGTTCATCCCTCAGTCACATGACAGCAAAGACCAAATGGTGTCCTGAGAAGTGATCATCAATAAATTATCAAGTGTCAAGTGTCAAAATGGCAGAGGAAGGGAAATTTGGGGAAACTGTGGAAAAGCGACTGTATTGCTATTGCTACATTCGAACTGCAGGTGCATTATGGGTGCGTCCAGGGAGAGGCCTTGAACCACATCTGAGGCCAGCATGTGTAATCGTCAGCCGAGACATCCGGGAAGGGTTTATCACGGCCGATTCATCCGCTGGTGGTCCGTCAGGAAAGGTCCAACACATCCATTAATACATTCGTACCAGTCTTTAGGCTCGATTGGCTCCCCCGTCGACTTTGTCTGCACAAGGAGAGAACACAGTTAGAGTTTAGATTGTTATGCCAGGAAACCAACCTATTTATAGTCTCCTGCATCACACCGCAAGTCCTACCAGTCCGGAACAAGTAGATAAATGGGACTGTGGAAGATGTGATGGACTTCTGCAACCAGTCACAGCTCGTGTATTACATCTCATATGTATATCTCAGGGCAATATACTTCTAGGATTGGCCAACTTCCTGAGTGACAATTATTATTGTGAACATATATCGAGTCAATAAAAATTCACAAATCATGAATGCATTCGTGCAGGAAACCTTTCCCAAGGAAAACCGGGGGGGGCGGGGGGCAATATTACTGACCTCCCTCTAAGAACGGCCTGCCTGTTATGTTGTCTCTCTGGCTCCAATCCCTTCTAAGCCATTGACCCGGAGCAATTCTATAGATCAGGACATTCAGAGGATCTTCTGCCTGAAGAGAAGCACAAGGAGTGCCTCCATAGTGTAGAAAACAACTTGATTTGAATATAAAAACAACTGAAAATGTACTCACAAAACCAATATGGGAGAGCCTGGAGTGGCAGGATCACAAAAAAAAAGCTTGAGGATGGACCAACAGTCATGGCTTTAAATGTGCAAGTGGGGTGCTGGCTCCATCTTGCTGCACATCAGTCCTCTAGTTGACGTGTTTCCGGGGCCAGCCCCTTTCCTCAAAAGGTTCTGACGAAAGGGGTCCGTCCCCAGAAACGCATCAACCAAAGCAGACCTGGAGTCAGCACCCCACCTGCACATTTAAAGCCATGACTGCTCGTCCATCCTCAGCTTTTTTGGTTGGTTGCGAGTACATTTTCATTGTCTTTATATTCAAAAAAAAAGTGTTTTTTTACACTATGGAAACAAAAGAATATGGACACCGGCACTCCAACAGCAGGTAGAACACGTCTATTGACGTACATGCAAAACAAGTAGCATAGCACACTCAGTGCGACGGTTCGGGGTCATGTAGGATCCCCTTCGTCAGGCAGAACACTTGAGGCCGGTGTCTATATTCTTTTGTATCACTGAGCCGGTGGCCCTCCGTCGACACCCGTGTTATTCTGATGGATGAGCGGTCAGGAGTGCAATGGGTGCATGGACTTTTACACTATGGAGGCGCTTCTTGTTTTTTTTTTTAACAGGTAAATATTTTATTGGTTTTAACACACATAACGAGTTACAAACATTACAGAGAAAATGAAATAATATCATCTCAATATCGAATATCAGCAATTAGCACAAGACAATAATGGAAAAATTAAGAAAAAATACATATACACTGGACAGACACTACCTAGCTAAAGAAGGTGTGGATCGCTGGTCTCGTGTGCTAGCAACACGGCCGACCCCCTTAGTGGGTCCGGCCCTGCTACTGAGAAAGGCTCCTGGGGGGGGACAAGGCAGAGGGAAAAAAGAGGGGGGCCAGGGATGAAGAGACCGGGGGGAGAAACAGGGTAGGCCGGGAGGGGGGGGAGGAAATAAGAAATTAGAGAATAAATAAAATCAGATAGAAATAAAAAAGGGGGGTCGGGGGAAGGGCTCCAGCCAAGCTCCGTCCAACGATCATCACCAGGGAAGGGGCTACCCCCAACCCTCACACCAGGTGTCAACAACCCCCGAAAGGATCCCAATGCTTCTCTATTGTTAGATACCCAGTTTCCCTGAAAGGAGCTGCCTTGTCTCTCTGGAGTCCCCCCTCTATTTCTGCAAGGATGGTGGAAAAATCAGCACCGGTGGTTGTTTTCTTTCAGTGTCTTATCTGCCTACTTGTAGGAAATCCCCATTGACATCTGCGAGATCTAGAATTCTGGCCAGAGCACGAGGAGAGGAAAAGTGTCAGGACCTGACCTCTACAGCTAAAGATCACTGGATCAGGAGCTGGGAGGTCAGTACAAACCCCATCACATCACTCGCCTAACCTTCATCTTAGAAGTCTTCTTAAAGGGACCCTGTCATGAGAAAATGATATAGGATGCCATTACCTAGCTGCCAACCCTTTCACCCAGCTTCAGTTCTTTGATTCACTGACCCAGAACAAGTATGCAGCCAGGGATGCCCCAATCTCCATACTTTCTGAGCCAGCGATTCTGACACGTCTTGGGGAAAAGCCAGGAAGACTATTTTTAGGAGGAAAGAATAGAAGAGCGTTGTTGCCCCTGCTCTCCGCACAGACCAAAGCAGATCTGCACCTTTAAAAGGCGCTTGTGTTATCTAGAGTGCTCAAAATAAAGTATTACTCATCTGATTCTCAGATCCACAGTGGTCAGCGCTCACCTCACTCCACTCCAGCTATGGAATGTCCCTCAGCGTCCTCACATCTAATGCGGGTCAATAGACCTGAACTAGACGCAATGACGTTAGCAGCCCCTGGACCGCCGGAGCTCAGGAGAGAAGAGGCTGTGGGGACCGGTCTAGCAGCCCGGAGGGAGCTAGTGAGACAGAGGATCAGGCCAGTAATACAGTCTAGAGCCCTCTAGACAAAACTGGCACTTAACCCTTGCAGTGCAGGGGATAGACCTACTGCAAAGGTCAGCTTTTGTTTGCTTGGAGTTCTTCTTTAAAAAAGGAGAACTATGAGGTGAGTGATTTCCACTCACCTCATAGTTCTAGCCGACCTGTGACAATGAGACTGTCACAGGTCGGCTAAGTAGATTGGGTGGTGAGCGAACACATACCGGCGATCGCTCGCCTCTCGATCCTGTCACGGCTCTCTGCCGTGACAGGGGAGGGGCTGGATTCCCCCCTCCGATTCGCCAGCGTTGACTGGCGGAACGGACGGGAGAGGGGGCGGGTACAGCTGGTTCTGCCTCTAGATAGGCAGAGCCAGCTGTCAGTTACGCAGCTGGGCGGATCCGGGCACAATTGTCGGGATCCGCTTCAGCTGCGGCGTCTCAGTATACCGCGAGCTACAGCTTGCGGTATACTGAGCCTAGGGTGACGGGAGGACGCTAGTTTGTGTCCTCCCGTTACCCTAAGGAGAACTATGGGGAAAAGCCCTGACCTCATAGTTCTCCTTTAAAGACAGACAATGCAGAAAATAAAATTTTCATATGTTTAGGTCCATGGGGTTGAACAGGATGTTGCCTTTAACATTTTTGTGACCAGAGGACATTGATGCCTAGATGCCCAGACTAGAACTATGAATATCTGCTTACCTATAAATATACCTAAATATGGTTTTAATAAAAAATGTAAAAAAAACCCTGTTTAGTTTTTTTCTTTACTGGCTGACAAATGCACAAAAGATGTTCATGATGATGTAATATTAGGCATTTATTTAATACTGCAATTGTCAGATACAGTTACCAGAGACACATTGTCATCTTCAGGCTGCAATGGCCTCTGCAGGCTGAAGACTTATTTCATGAATGAAGCCTGCGGCCTGTGTGTGATCACTAGATCATAGCTTACAAAGTGATCACATGATTAGGAAGAACCCCGATTGGTCTCCATTAGTTAGTGAGGACAGGAGAGGTCGGCGACATCACGGCGTTGGCTGCTGTCTGTCAAATGGAAGAGACTGATGTATCCAAAGCTATGGACAACATGCAGTGGAACCTTAAAAGGAGATTCATGGGGATCATTTGTCTTTAAACTGAAGATTAATGGTTGGGAGGAATTAACTCGGCAGAATAAAAATAGAAACGCGTGTAATCTGGGTTATGATAAATAAGTAACATCTCTTTACACAGCAGAGACAGTAACACCACAGCAGAGACAGTAACACTGGTTTGGCACCGAGAAAAAAGAATGCTGATGTACAAAATATTTCCAGCAGTATAAAGTCTAGAAGTGAAGGACTCCGCTTATGACAGGATAATCAGGTTACCCATCAACTATATAGATATGTGAATTACAGGGTGAGCAGGTTCAACATACACAAACACTATATGAGCACCAAGAGATCAGCTTGCTTGGCTGGCCAGGAGCTATTTTTCTTAGAACTCCGTTACTGCGACACCGGGTTCAAATTCTACCACGACTATTATCTGCATGGAGTTTGCATGCTCTCCCTGCCCGTGTCAATGGGTTTTCTTGGGGCCATCCGGATTCCGCCCACAATCCAAGAAACATACTGTCAGGCATCTTTCGTTGTTAGTTTAGCTTAGTACTCATGTGTGGTCACCAGGACAGGAAGGGAATAAAAATCTTCCCAATAGAAAGCCAAACAGCAATAAAAATGACAGAGGTTCTAAGACTTTCCCACTTTGCTCAAAAATGGAGAGATAGTACTGGTTGGAGCAATGCTGGTTGGAGCAATGCTTAGAGGTCTTTTTATAACCAATTCAGGATATCTGCCCTACAAAATCTTAATGAAGGTTCGTTCTGTGCAAATGGAGACAAACAATCTTAGATATATTTCCTTTTCAGGTTGAATGAATGTCATGTAATACTGCATTATGGCCACTAGATGGAGCTGAGGAGCATAGGAAACAACTATAGCCCAACAAGACCTCACTCTGGTTATCCTGCCAACCCCTTTTAAGTAAAATAAATGTGGGGGCTTCCATTGCTGACCTCATTCCCAAAAGATGAGTCCCCCTGGCTGTTATGTTGACCAATTGGCTTTCATACATAGACAATGGCACAGTCGATCCCTATAGACTTCTATGCGGCTATCTTCCAATATAGGATTTGCTCAGGAGATGGCCCCATAGAAGGCTGTGCAAGCCTTTCAAGGGGATACAACATTTCCTGTAGGGGTGCTAAAGACTCTATAGGCCACAGACATCAGAGTCAGGTAGTATACATATGGGGTTCCTTTAGCTTGGGGAGTGCTGCTTTAGGAGAGGTTCCACTGGATGTGTGGATGGAGAACTTGTCCCTTTTGGGAGGGGAGCAACTCGGGGCTTTAGAACAGAATGCCGATTTAATGATGATTTCATAGTTACCTTTGGGGATGAACTTAATCGAGTTGCTGAATATTCAGAAGCGGGACTGGTTCTTCTTTGGGCCGTCGTTTAAAAACTCGTGACCCAGGCCATTGCCGCACTTTCCGCAGGAGACCTGGAGGAGCAAAAGGACACGAGTTAGAATCCAGAAATCCCAGCCGATGAAAATAAAACAGCAATTCAATTAAAGGGAACCTGTCTAGAAGGCTGTTACCTGGCACAGCTGAAGCTCCCATCCAGTGCTGGAAGCAGCCATTGGCTGGACTCCCAGAAGCAGCGGAATGTGCAGAATGCTGGAGGGGTGCGACTTTGACCCTAAACTAGCACTACCTGCATGGAACTGGGCCATAGAAGCCTTCGGTACACCATGAGATAAGTCAGCTGTAAGGCTGGGTTCACACCTGGGCGTACGGAATATGCGTGTTTGCTGTGATTTGCGGTAAAAGAAACACGCGTCAAACGCGCGTTTACTAAGCTGTATCCTAATGGATACGCGCGGAAAATACGCCCCAAAGAAGCTCCTGTACTTCTTTGGGCGTAGGGCCTTTTGCAGCGTGTTCCTACGCGCTGAAATACGCCCAGGTGGGAAACATGCCCATAGGCAATTATTGGTTTTCACATGATGAGCGTTTTACAGCGCGTCGATCAGCGCTGTAAAACGCTCAGAAGTGAACCAGGCCTAAGAGGCAGCGGATGTTCCGACAGGTTCCCATTACAGATTAACACTTGGGGAAGGTCTCTGCAGTTTCTAGCTCGGTTCAAGCAGGCTTCAGCTAGTTAACTCCATTCTAAAAGGGCAGTGTGTACAGTAAACATACATACAGCACTTGGCAAGCGTCATGCAGCTTTTCTGAAGCCCTTAAAGCACCCTCAGCTCCAGACTGAGCCCCCATTCACACCAGGGCGGTTCGGCCGCGCAGATCCGCCCACATGAACATTGCTATGGGGAGCGTTCATGGAACCGCGTGGCTCTGTGGGATCCGAATCGCCTCCTGCCAGAATTGCTCCATGGCTCTTTTTTGCTGCACTGATCAGTGCGGTTTCCATACCGCTTTCAATGTAACCGTGCGGTTTTGGGCGTTTCAGTGCCGAATTAAAAATACCCAAAACCTCCCTTTTCAAATCCGCACGGAGACCGCGCTGATCCGAAACCGCCCTGGTGTGAACCAAGCCTTAAAGTGCTGAATGCTAACCATAATGGGAGTCCTAGCTGTCCCTTTAAATGAGCTGTTGGCAGGCTTTAGGCAAGATTCAAGATTTACATTCAGACCGGTGCTCAGCACGCCGAGACTAGAGCAGAGGGCGCTATGAAGGGAAATTGTCAGATGAGTGAAATACAACTTATCCCAATAGTTAGGCCGACCTGTGACACTGCAGCGTCACAGGTCGCCTCTATTGATTGAGAACCGAGCGATCACATAACACTGATCGCTCAATTCACAATATTCTCCCTGCAGAGAGCAGTGACCATCAGTCACCACTCCCCTCAGGGATTTCCCCCCTCCTCTCTCCGTTCCTCCAGCTACCCCCTCTCAGCAGTGACTCAACAGCTCAGCTTACTCCGCTTTCCTCCCAGCAGGGAGCCAGCAGCTCAGTTCTCTCTCCCAGCAGCTCCCGCTCAGCCCCCCCACCTTGCTCTACCCAACAATAGTGACCCAGCAGCTCAGTTCCCCCTACTACCCCTATCAGAAGCTGAGCCCACCTTTATCCCCCTCCTAGCAGCCACTCAGCAGCTCAGCCCACCTTACTACCCCTCCCAGCAGTGACTCGAAAGCCCAGCTACCCCTTCCTTCTACTTAATCATTACTAGTTCCAATACCATCTCCTTCCCATGAACCAGTATAGACTGATAGCACATAAAGTGTGCTAAAGTGACCTCTCAAGCAATAATATTTATGGTCATTTAGGAGGCCACTTAGCACTCCTGAAGTGCTATCAAATCTTGGTCAAAAAGGGTGCTTTACATGTTTTATTCAGACCCCCTTTAGGATTATACACAATCATTTACAATCTCCTGCAGACCATACCTGGGCAGTCATACTGTTTATGGTGTTCTCACCTTAAGAGCATTGGGCCGTTCCACATATTTGGAGACGCTGTCCTCGTGGATGGTCTCTGTGAAGGCGGGCCACGGGGAGGAGTGTTCATATTTTGTACGGCTGGAGAACAGCTCGTAGCCACATTCGGCGCACACGTATATTCCTGATCATGGAATGACAGCGATACACAAAGTATTACAAGTCAATCATTATGACAAAGCTCTCCTAGAACACATAGGTGCATACAGCAAGCAACCCTTGTATTGTAATAACGGCACGTTAGCTCTCCTAGAACACATAGGTGCATACAGCAAGCAACCCTTGTATTGTAATAACGGCACGTTAGCTCTCCTAGAACACATAGGTGCATACAGCAAGCAGTCCTTGTATTGTAATATTGGCACGTTAGCTCTCCTAGAACACATAGGTGCATACAGTAAGCAGTCCTTGTATTGTAATATCGGCACGTTAGCTCTCCTAGAACACATAGGTGCATACAGCAAGCAGTCCTTGTATGGTAATCACTGCACGTTAACCTTCCCATTCTGCACCACTGTAGGATATGATGGTGGATTATAACGAAAGGTCATTAATACCCAAATATAAAACTTACCTCCACAGAGATATAAAAGACACGAGTGCCGCTCTGTATTTATCACTTAGGGGGGCCAATTATAAACAATTTGCAGAGCCCTTTGCTCTGGGAATACCCGAATGTTCATTTTGGGTGAATAACGCCAAAAACAAACGTTAGTATTCTATTATTTTACAGTTCGAATGTATTGCCAAAAGCTCAATTCAAATTGTAATACCAAATTCTAACCACTAGATGGAGCCAAGGAGCATAGAAAAGTGTTGATTCCTTTGATCTTCAGCTCCATCTAGTGGCCATAAGGAAGTATTACATCACAATACATTCGAACTGGAAGAAAATATATATTATATATATCTATATCTATCTAACATTGCTTTTGGCATTATTCACCCCAAAACGAACGTTCACCAGTATTCTCAGGGTGAATATAAATAGACCCGAAGGGTATTTTTCTAAATGCAAGTACTACAATGCTGTGCAGCGGCCCTTACACTGGAAGGGGATGGGAAGACACACAGGACTGGGTAGCCAACCTGATAATACTCTGCATGCAAATGTATTTACAAGGAGCATGCTGACTGGAGAAGGAGAGAGCACGGTGAGCAGAGAGATACTTAGTCTGCTGCTGCTCCTTCGCTGTCCAACTGTGTGGAGAGGACAACCACTGCCCTCCTTAACTGAAAGTGGTGCTCTGTGTGGCAGAGCCGTATAAATCTCAGGACTGGATGGACCGAAATACAAGTTACTATGTCAGCTCAGACCTTACACAAAGCATTTGTGCCCGGCTTCCTGATTGGCCGAGAAGCTGGCTCCATGCTCCCTCGTCACCAGGGAGCTGGTTTCCCAGTCAATCAAGATGCCGGGGGCGGGTAATGAATCGCCGCACAGCATCCCATTTGGTCAGGAAGTTGGCCAATCAGAAAGCCAGGTGGTGAGTCATTACCTCGACCCCCGGCATCCCGATTGGTCAGAAAGCCGGATCCATGCTCCCTCGTCACCTGGTGGTGAGCATGGAGACGCCTTCCCAGGCTAAGCGGGAAGCGAGTCATTACACGCCGCCTGGCTTCCTTAATGGGACTCCCGGTATCGGTGAGTACCGAAACAAAATAATTATCGGTACTCGTTACCGAAAAAACGGTATCGGTGCATCCCCATTTATAACCCCTGCCAGCTTTTTATTTGCCATCTGTATTCAGCTGGGGAGATTTCCTACACTTCCTGTCTGACAGCCAGAACAGGAAGTGAGTAAAATCCCTGGTGTGGTCACCAGAACTAGTGTCCCCATTGGAAGATCTCCCCTCTATTCCTGTTCTGGTGACAACCCAAAGTTTGGGATTTCCTTTCACTGATAAGGACACAGAGAGGGAGTGACTCTCTCTATTGGGGACACAGAGCAATAAAAACCTGCCCGGGGTTCTCATCCCTCTCCATCCACAACTAACTTGGCTTCAGCTGCGCTTCAAGTCGGTAAACTTCCTCCCACAAATGAAGTAACCGGATTCCGGCTTTCATCAGCCACCTTGTGACATGAATGTTGCAAAGTGACTGAAATCGCTGAGCAGCTTCCAGGAATAGATTCTGTACAGTCTCCACACATTGCATTGTTAATCGGTAACCACGGCCATCGGGGTCATTATTGGTTATTATCCTGAACAAGCATCAATGTGTCTCCGGGACGGACTCTGAGGATCGGGCGAGCTTCTCAGCAGATGGAACAGATTCTGGCCAATCAAGCAAGTCTACAAATCAAACTTCCCATGTTTCCCTTGCTACTGCTGTCCCCCCTGAGGGATGTACAGGGAAGGTCACATGACTTTCTACTTGCAGACAGAGGACTCCCAGCATACAGGATTATATCATGACACATTTCTTTAGATACTAGAAGGTATGAGCGGGACACAAACGTGCATGCGTACCATCTTTCATCCAGTCCTCGCTGAATGTACGGAGATTCACCAGCTTGAGATACCACCAGAGGTGTCCCCAGACCGGGTGTCTTGGTGATGGACACCGGCAGAGAGAGGAGGGCACGTTCATCCCGCGGGATAAGGTATTTCGCTGGGTCCCCTTCTGTCTGCTGCAGCTGTCGGGCTCTCAGTCCATGACCGAGTGCCCGACTTTTCAGAGGGGGTGACACCAAAATGACGATCAGTGATTTTGGTGTCACCCCTTCTGATGGTGTCACCTGGTGTGGGCTGCACCCCCCTGGAGATGCCACTGTAGAGTGCACAGGACAGCACTGGATTTCTGGCAGGATCAACAAGCATCGAACAGAAAAAAAGAAAAGCGCTTCCAATGGCGTATTCAACAGACCAAATGGGGAGACACGCAGACTAGATGCAGCTTGGTGGTCACATGACCACATGAAAAAAACAAACCTTTATATTACATATATTTAGATGGCGATGGATTATAAAACATATGCGGGGAGCAGCAGAGCAATGGGGAGCCCACATTTAAAAAGTGGGTCATTGCGCAGCCTTTCCTTCCATTTAAACCCCTCAGCGCGCACTGGACGCACTTCGGAGACCATTCAACTTGCTTTGCTGCAAAACGCACCAATAACGCAGTTAACTCCATAGCAACGCTGCTGGTGAACCCTAAATAAGCTTCAGGATAGACAGCAGGGAACCCCCCCAGATATGAATGTACAATGCTGGCAACAATGTAACAGCTGATCCATTATGTAACTTTCTGATTGGTTCCCTGTACACACCGACACCCTCCTACACCCCAATAGTAAGTCCACACACACACACCAGCCCCTCGTTATCATTACCGTTCTCGAAGTGATCTTTGTACTTTTCTCCGCCAAAGAACGAGCAGAAAGACATGGTGATGTTACCCTGACCAGCACCGACCCTGTCAAAACTGATCCTCACCGGCCACTGTCCACCGCACACTGCCAGGGAGCATAGAGCCGCACATTGTGTAATAGACTTTTACGGGAGTGGGCGTTGCGTTACGTCACCACAGGGGCGTTCCTTCCTGAACCTGGGGCCGCCATCTTGGATGAGGGCAACGACTTACTATATCGCTAGCAGTATTGGATATTTTAAGTGTGACGTGAACCATTTATTTTTCTGTGGTCATAAATGGTGAAGGGGCAGAGGTGGAGTCCCACACAGAGGCGGAGAGAGTGAGACCTGGCCTGTCAAGTACAGTAATATTTATGCAAGAGCCTGATGGAATTGCTTAACCAGGTCACATGTATGAGAACATGCTGCAGGTGTTTATTGAGAGAGAGAGGTAGCGGGATGTGACATTGCTGACTGAAAACCTGTGACAAGAAATGTTTGCTCAGTGTGAGATGTTCCCATAGCTGCCATCACTTTAGACCCCATTCACACTGAGCGACATGGATATCACGCGTTTTTCAGCGCGATTTCGTGCTGAGCGGCTTTGAGCTACATTGCACGATATTGAGCGACAGTGCACATTTTACCGTGCTACATATCGCGTTTTTTGGGCGGTCCTCCATCGCTACTACATTGGGCTGTAATCAATCAACAGCGATCTTTATGTGACATCATCTTTTCCTTCCATTTTGCAGTGCAAAAGTGACCCTTCTGTAGCGCGATATCGTATGACAAAGTTGTGCACTAGCGCCGATAATGCGCGATTTAGTGCGACACCATAGAGTCTATTGAAGCCGAATAGCGCGACATCCGCGGAAAAAAAGTGTCATGTACAAGCGACAAGCTTGAGCGACATTAAGCTGTGAGATGTGAACAGCTCCATTGAAATGCATTGGACAAGCTACAAAGAGCGATATGCGCGATTTTGCGGCAGAAATCGCGCGATAAACCGATCAGTGTGAACGGGGCCTTAAAGTGCGTCTCCAGGCAAACAGCTAAATGCATAACTTTTTCTCTGTCTAGACCAGGGGTGGTGAAACTACAAATCCCATGATGCATCTGTCTCTGGAAGCAATGTCTGTGACGGAGAATTTTGCAATGCCTTATGGGATTTGTAGTTCCACAGCAGCTGGAGGGCAGGAGTTACCCCTGCGCTAGATAATTACAGCTACTCTTAAAGTGCAAATACAGCCAGAACTGGCTCTGGACCCAGTCCAAATCTGAGCTCCCCTAAACCTGGAAGGGAGCCCAATCAGCTGCGGGCTGGGGCATTCCCCTTCTAATCCTGCAGCTGCACATAAACAAAGGGATGGGTTGCTTGTGCTGACATCATTGACCGTATATGGCCATATTAGGTCAATATAATTTACCAAATATAGCCATGTGGCCATATAAGGTCAATGAGGTCACAGCGTCCCGGCCATTTACTTATGCCCTGCTGCAGACGGGGAAGCTGATTGGGCAAAAAGAGCTTCCTTCTGGGTTTGGGGAGCTCAGGTTCAATCCAAACTCGGTCCGTACCTAAGAGCATTCCTACTGCCGAGTGACACATACTGGACCACTGGAACTAAAATTCACCTTCGTTGCTATCGCAGCTTTGTTCCACACTTCCTGTCTACATGCACATTGACGATGGCTGCATGGAATGTCTCAGAGCGGATTTCCTTAAAGGGACCACAGCAGGTACGCTGACACAAGATGCCTCGGCACAGCCATTTGTATTCTCCATCAGAGACACCTTAGAACAGGAATATCTAAACCAGACAGGAAGTGCCTGAACAAGAGCTTCCATGGCAGGATCACCAGGTATTACTTGAATGAAAACTCTAGGTTTAGGGTCCATTCACACTTGAGTGTTGCGCTTAGCACATTCGAGCATGCTAGCGCACCCAGTGCACGCCCTACTTGTGTTCAACGCACACCAATTCAAGGTATTGCAGTACCGCTTGTTGGGCTGTGCCGCAGTGCACCTAGCGCATCATAGCACAAGTTCAGTGCGCTGTGTAATAGCGTGCACTAAATGCACAGTAACATGCGTAACCCTTTTTTTCGAACTCAATGAACTTCAATGCCTTGCCACAACGCAGCTGCATTGCCTTAGTGCATTGGGCCGCCATTTAAAATGAATGCCATTGTAACGCATGTAATGTGTGCTAAAAAGAGGTTTTGGGGTTTTTTTAGTGCGCAGAAAGAAAAAAAGTGTGAGGGTCTTTTCCCCCCCAATTGATAACAGACCCTTTAAATCTGGTAGGAATGTTAGGAGGGATCCCCAATGTGAAAAAAAGTGTGGGGTTCCCCCCAGAAGTCATACCAGACCCTTAATCCAGGGCAGAACAGAGGGGGCGAGCAAGCGCCCCTCCTCCTTGCGCCATACCAAGCTACATGCCCTTGACATGGAGTGGGTGCTTTGCAGGGGCGGGACCCCCAGAAAAGCGCCTTGTCACTATGCCGATGAGGACAGGGGCCTCTTCCCCACAACCCTGGCCCGGTGATTGTGGAGGTCTGTGTAAGGTAAAGGGGGCCCCCCAGATGCCGCCTACCCCCCTTGTGATTGAGTAAGGGGTACTTGTACCGCTACTCATTCACTAAATGCTTCAATAAACACATAACACCTTTAATTGAACACAATTTTTTTTTTTTGTGTCCCACAATGTTATTTCAGGAAAAAAAGACAAAAAACTCCCCGATGCAATGTTTACAATTATACAAACAATTTGAAATAGCGAATAGCAGTCTGGCTAATGCCCCCGCCCGCTGCCTGACGACAATCACAGAGGAGCGACCTGAGAGAGAACTTTCTCAGGTCTGCTCCTCTGCAGGAGCAGTGGCCATTCTGCTATTGGCTATTGTAAATTACAATAGCCAATAGCAGGCCCCATTGGCTCTCAAAATACCTGAACAGTCTGATTGGATGCTGGCATTGTTCAGGTGTTTTGACAGCCAGCGGGGCCGACTAGCAAGATACTGAAGCTTGGCCCAGCGAGAGATTCCACCATCCACACAGTTTAGCGGAGATGGAGGAATCTGTTGCACGTTTTCCATCTGGCCATAGAAAGTCTGCAGATCATCTATAGGTGTACGGCCAGCTTCAGTTTACAGACTTCTAGATGGTTTCCTGGTTATCAGGAGTGGGATAGACCTTATGGAAGTTCAACATACTGTAGATTATAATGGTGGTGCTGACTGTCACTTTAAACAAGCTGCTAGTTAGTGGGCTTCATCTCTACATGAAGCTTCCTGGCTAGGGTGGCCACCTGTCCAGGATTCTGGACGGTCCAGGTTTTGAAAGCTGTGTTCAGGTTTCATGGCAGCAGAAACCCGGACACAAGGTGTCAGGCAGACAGGGGCAACCAAATTTAAAATAGGGGCTACTGGCCCCCCACTGAAAATAGTCTCAACTGTGATATTTACATATGAATGGGCGGCTCTATTTACATATGAATGGGCGGCTCTATTTACATATGAATGGGCGGCTCTATTTACATATGAATGGGCGGCTCTATTTACATATGAATGGGCGGCTCTATTTACATATGAATGGGCGGCTCTATTTACATATGAATGGGCGGCTCTATTTACATATGAATGGGCGGCTCTATTTACATATGAATGGGCGGCTCTATTTACATATGAATAAGCCGCGACTCATTCTCCCCAATTAATGTCGGCAAAGTGTTCGGGTTTCGCTTGAAGAAAAGGTGGCAGCCCTACTCCTGGCAGCTTGTGTGAGGTAACAGTCAGCACACCATTGTGGTGCCATTAATTGTTAATGTGGAACATGTACCAATGTGCAACCACCAGCCAGGGCTAGCGAGAATGCTGCAAGTGTGATTTTTGGTCCATTGCGGTGCATTAAGAAGCTCACTCAAATGATCGGGCTGCCTTGACAGAACACATGTTGAATGCGTCACAGGGGAGAGGGGACCACCCTGGTGTGAATGGGGCCTGAGATCTGAGTTTAATATCCCCATACCAGAGCTAAAGTTTTCTTCGATGGCTTCAACAAAGCTGCTCAAAGCTTGCCGAAAGCGTTACCAATGATGCATGCAAACCGAAGCCGAAACATAATGAAAACAAAGGATGAACCCAGCTGACAAAAAAAAAAACCTCCCGCTGTCATAAACAAGATGAAATGTGATTATCATTAAAGGTCCGCCAGAAGAATGAAGGGACCATTCACACCATAGAGTTGTGTTACTTGCACTATACCAGTGGTGGCGAACCTATGGCACGCGGGGCCCTCTCTGCTGGCACGCGAGCCCAGGTTCAGGGACCACCAATGGAAATAGATCTGACCGACCCGGATCGCCTCAGTACGCGATCCGGGCCAACTGTTTACCCTATTTTGCCTAAGGCAGTGATGTTGAACGTTTCTTAAACCCGTTCTTAAAACTTATTTTCATTGCTGGCACTTTGAGGTAAATAAATTCATTTTGTGTCGCAGTTTGGGCACTCGGGTTCAAAAAGGTTCGCCATCACTGCACTATACCATGCATTTAATGCACTCTATCACACAACGTACCTAGTGTGCATTACCATTGTCCTATAGACCTAGTGTGCATAGCGATCATATCCCATGGCCGGGGTGGAATTGGAAGCGGCCGTAACAGGCCCCAGGATCGGCAACGTTCAGTCTTGTTACGGAGGCAGATGACACAAGAGCGGACGTACGACAGGCAATCCTTCCTCAACCCCGGCCACCAGAAGGACCGCCGCACCAAGTCGATCGTCTTGCGAACTCCGAAGTGACCCGCCAGTTGATGATCATGACACATCTGAAGAACCATGATACGAACCTCGGGTGGTATGAACACCAAATCATTCAGAAAAAATAATCCCTCCTTCTCCTGAAATTTCAGATTGGCGGGCAAAGTTGCCCCGGAAGACAATAAGAGTAAACTGTGGGCAGGCAACACCGCCACTGGTGGACTCGACTCCTCCCCCTCCGGGTACATGCGGGACAAGGCATCGGGTTTGATGTTCTTAGACCCCAGGCGGAAGGTAATTGTGCATTGAAAAGCGGGAGAAAAACAGCGCCCATCGGGCCTGGCGAGGCCGAAGCCGCTTTGC